CGATGTGAAAAATCAAGGTATTTGATGTAGACCGATGTGTTATGATCATTGAAGCATTTGACTTGATTTGTAAAACACTTTATTTGTACAAGTATTTCTTTAAAGGCGCATAATTTGGAATAAGTACAGGTATTCAATTGGGTTGATTTCAAGTGTTTACACCAATTAGCACACTATCGCATTCTTTTTGAATTGTATTTATTGCGATAGAAGAGAATTTAAACAGTTCTGATGCTTTACTGTTCTAAACGAGGTCGAAACACTCGACAAATAGGATGGATCTCAGAAGCATTCTGACTAGCGATTCATCCGGAATGTATTCAAGGCGCATGCGGTAGTTGTTGGGCATTCTCCGTGACTGGTAACATCGAAGGTGCATGGGCGATTAAGACAGGTAAACTGGTGTCTCTATCCGAACAGGAACTGGTTGATTGTGATGTGGTTGATGAAGGATGTAACGGAGGATTGCCATTGAATGCTTACAAGTTAGTGTCTCCTTTATTATTTGTTCTCATCTGTGAAAGTGTAAGATTTGAGAAGTGCCCTAAGGTACCGAGATAAACGCTTCATTGGGCAATTTCTTGAACCAGTTATACATAATCTGATTGATATTAGTTAGGTTGATTGTTGAGCATATTGAAGAGAAATCATACGCATGGGTGGACTGGAAACAGAAAAGGACTATCCGTACGATGGTCGTGGTGAGCGTTGTCACTTGGTCAGACAGGAGATTGCGGTCTATATAAACGATTCAGTGGAATTGCCCAAGGATGAGCAGAAAATGGCCGAGTGGTTGGTAGCGAAAGGACCAATTTCTATCGGTTTGACAGTTTTTTGAATTGTTTGATTTTCGCCATCGGAATTCTCCAAGCTCAACAATGACGGAATATAACTTGTTCAAAAACTTTGATAGATCTCACTTGATTTTTCCTGTCACTGAGATCACCTCTATAGATTTCATCAGAATATTTGGGTGTAATCACTATGGTTATAGTTAATCCTCTCCTTATTTTGTCTACTCCGAAAGTTATTTGCAATATTTCTGAAAATTTGTCGTCGTAAATTAAAATAATCACCTTCACATTAACGTTATCAAATTAATAGAAATGACAATGGCATACTCTGATGGCTCATATTTTCCTTCTTACACAAATACGTATGATGCTCTGTACATTGTCAAAAATAAGCAGTCACTGCTTGAATAGTGCCAGTAATAGAATGAGAGTGCATAGAGTTTATGAATTCTGTTGCGTTGAAAAGAATGAATAAGCAGCAGTATGATAAGACTTTTCATGAGAAAAGGCATGAGGGCAGCTAGAGAACCTCTGCAAAGAATGAAAATGTTTCGGAATGTGTATAAGCTCAGTGAGCAGCAGAGAAATTTTTGAAGCATTCATTTAACAAAGAATGTAAAGGTGATTTATCCAGCAGGCTGTTTCCACTCTATATTAACAAAAATCAACTTTATAAAATCTTCAGGTGCAGTCAAGGCGATACTACTGAAAGAGTATATCAACCCTGAGAGCAGTATTCGAATAATAATTTGTGCAAACAAGTTTCAGGTATCAATGCAAATCCGCTACAATTCTATCGACACGGTATTGCACATCCTTGGAAGATTTTATGTTCGCCAACGCATTTGGATCATGGTGTACTGATAGTGGGATACGGTGTGGAGGGCGATAAACCGTTCTGGATCGTGAAGAATAGTTGGGGAGCAAGATGGGGTGAGCAGGGATACTTCCGACTTTACCGAGGCAAAAACGTTTGCGGAGTACAACAAATGGCGACCAGTGCAGTTATTCATTAAAAATGAGGTGATCAATGTTCCTATACGATGCACATAACTTAATCGGCAAAAATCTCTTTTTTTCATCTTCATCTGATTCGAAGTTTTTGTTCTGAATCGGAATTTTTATTTCT